AAAATCACAACACAGCTTTTTCACTATAAGAAGTATTCTTCATAAAAACACTATTTAAGTTAACTCTTCAATCATGATAAAAAAATTTATAAACATTTTAAAAAATGTGCAAGTTAAAATGTAAAACTTAAAATGCAAAAAACAGTTTTACAGGAAAAATTTCAATCTGAAATTAGATTTGAGTATTGTTTACCTTGTTTGAAAACAAAATAAAAAATGACACAGTAGTTGTTATTCTGAAGTCCAACACTTCAGAATTGTCTTCATTTCACTTTATTTATTATTTAGCTTACATATTTATCACTTTAATAGCTAAATATCCGGAAAAAAATTCTTTTTTTTTTTTCTTTATGTCCAAAATTTGCCTTCTGTAAAAATTTTTCTTTTCTTTTCTCTCTTATTCTTCTATCTACTTTCTATATTTATTTATACTTTTTCTTTATTGGTATTTTTATTGCAATTATTAACCCGGATTTCAGGAATTATGTAAAGACAAATTGCTTTTATAATCAGAAAAGGTGATCAGAGGAAAATCTTAGAAATTACTATTGGTTAATGAGCTTGCTCGAGTGATTCCCACGGCTTGAAAGGGAAAAAAGTCTCTACGTAAATTTATGCATAGTTGGGCCAAAAATAGAATTAGAAACAGGATGTGGCTTTTAAAAGTGTGAGAAAGTGTTTCGATTAGAATAATTAATTAGGATAACATAAAAAGATCAATTGAAGCTTTTTATGTTACAATATATATATATATTTTAGCCTCAGTTGGGCTCGAAATTGGCTCAATATTGGTTCAATGAGGCTCAATATTGGTTCCCAAATCATTTTGTTGCTAGGGTATATATAAATATAAAGTTAAGATAATTTAGGTGAATAAAAGTAACTGTTCCAACTGCACACGTATAAACAATTGACTATAAGGTAGCACCGCTAGCGTCGTACAGTAACGTTTCTGGGCTTGGGTTCTTAAAAATATAAACAATAACATTTCTTGGCTTGGGTTCTTTATGATGCGCAAAATCTCACCTTGAAGTTTGTCGCAACATTTATGGAACACTCTTTTGGTCACTCCCGCAGATTTATTTTATTAAAACTAGTGTTAGAAAAAAAAATTGAGTTATGTTCCTGCATATGAATATCCTCAATTTACATTAAACTTTATGTTTTTTCTACAAATTTAACACGAAGGTTCTATTTACGTTAATAAATTAAACAATATCAAACATAATTTTAAATGATCCATCAGCAGGCTATAAGTCAGCAATTAATTCCCCCACATTGGTAGCCTACGGACGTGATAAGAAATTGTCAATATTGATGGATGAATCCACATTAAACAGTTGCTTTGNATATTAAATACCAATTCACTAGTATATAAGACATGTTAACATGATTCTATCATGAGGTACCTTTTGATAGATGAAGGTTGACATAGTCGATAATTTATAAGTCCCCTCATTAACGACCTGCGGACGTGATATGAACTTGCCCACATTGATGGATGGTCCACAATAAATAGTTGATTTGCTTAATAATATACTGCTCAAAGAAGAAAATTAAAATTCGGTGATAGTGTCCGCCTTGATAGTGTGGCGTAACTACCACTATAAATATTAAATACCAATTCACTAGTATATAAGACATGTTAACATGATTCTATCATGAGGTACCTTTTGATAGATGAAGGTTGACATAGTCGATAATTTATAAGTCCCCTCATTAACGACCTGCGGACGTGATATGAACTTGCCCACATTGATGGATGGTCCACAATAAATAGTTGATTTGCTTAATAATATACTGCTCAAAGAAGAAAATTAAAATTCGGTGATAGTGTCCGCCTTGATAGTGTGGCGTAACTACCACTATAAATATTAAATACCAATTCACTAGTATATAAGACATGTTAACATGATTCTATCATGAGGTACCTTTTGATAGATGAAGGTTGACATAGTCGATAATTTCGATTCCCCACATACTTTTTAAAAACACAATATAAAGAAGTATTTAAATATTTTTGGTTAATAGAAGTAAGGCGATTGAAAAAACAATCATTTACGACATGTTGAACAGAACAATCGTATTTACCTTTTTAAAAAAAGTGGGAAAAAAGTGATTTTATGTTTTTGATTTCAGACATTCTGTGAAGCTGACGTAAAGGAATCTCGTAATATCATAAATAAAAGAAGGTAATTATATTGGCAACTACCACTCTTTTGGAAAACAACAAATTTTCAAATTTCATAGTTTGTTTTTTTTATTTCTTTTTCAGACTGAATGATTTCGCATCAAAATCTTCTGCATTCCACGAAACATTTCATTGTGAATCTTCTACACCTTTTGATTGTTCAACATTTGTACCATAATCACTTTTGTAATTAGATTGTTTTCTTTTTTTTAATTGAATAAAATTTATGGAGATTCAGGAAAGAATCATGCAAATTTTGCACATCTCTCCCTTAAGCAACCAAATTTCTTAAAATTTCAAAACAAAAATTTAGATTAAATTATTTTTTATTTCAAGCTAGCTGAATACCCTTTCTTCGCACGGGGTGTATAAAAAAATAAGCAAAGAAACAATACGAAATCATGCTCAGAACTGAAAAGCGTTAAAATTAAAGGGCTTGGTGGAAGAACCAGGTAAGTGAAATTTTTAGGGGTATTAATGAATCAGAGAATATAACAGAAAATGGTTCCATCAATATCGGCATGTTCGATATTACAGATCCTGTTTTTGTCTTCACTTTAACCTTAACATAAGTTATCCTATCAGTTTTTAGTATGCTTGCAGGATTTTTATTTTAAAATAGGCAGTGGTAAATAAAATAAAGCAAATAAATATTAGTCCCTCCAAATAATTAATTGGTAATAAAGTAGTTAGGATACAGTTTTTTTCCCTTTTGTTCTGAAAATGTCAATCACCTGGTTCTTCCACAAAGTTTACCAATTAATATAGCTATAATAATTTCACTTTTTTATTTAATATTATTTTTTGCCCTAATTGGTGGCTTTACGTTATTGAAATAAGCAAAACACGTAATTTGTAGTTCATTCCATTAGGATAAAGATAAAATGTAGTTAGCATCATGCTTCTGCTCGCGGCTAACCTCATAATAGGAAAAATTGACCACTATCAAGTAATTTTCTCCGGTACATATCTCTTTCAAGGGACCGTAATATACTTATTTCCGAAGTATCTGTGTTAAAACTTAGTATTGATATACTGCTTTAATAATCACAAAAGATATCAATGAAATACTTTATACCTATATAAGAATATTTGGTGCTTATTACATTAACCCTTCAACATTGGAGTGTTGCAAAAAGTACATTTATTTGTGACAGCCAACTAAAGCCGACATTTTTTTGAAGAAAAAAATAGAATTCTTATTAATACTTGATAAGAAATTTGGAGCATGATCATTTCACTAACTGATCTATAGTTATCTGATCACTCAAAAAAGTCTGATATTTAAAATTAGATTTCTCAGGATTTATTCATCCTATTATCTCCTGGATCAATTTTAAAAATTTCCCAGTTGTCAATAAAGCCGATATTTTTTGACAAAAATAGAATTCTTACTAGTTCTGGATAAGGATTTTGGAGCATGATCATTCCGCTATCTGATCTATAGACATCTGATCACTCAAAAAAGTCAGATATTTAAATTTCTATTTCTCAGGAACTATTCAGCCATTATCTCCTGGATCAATTTTAAAAATTTCCCAGTTGTCAATAAAGCCGATATTTTTTGACAAAAATAGAATTCTTACTAGTTCTGGATAAGGATTTTGGAGCATGATCATTCCGCTATCTGATCTATAGACATCAGATCACTCAAAAAAGTCAGATATTTAAAATTGTATTTCTCAGGAACTATTCAGCCTGTTATCTCCTGGATCAATTTAAAAAAATTTCCAGTTGTCAATTCTAGAAAACGAGCATCAGTAGGTTCAGATTTACTTTTATAAATAGGCTTCCTATTAATGAGGCTCTGTCAGGGGTTGTCACT